CCTTCCCCCCCCCCCCCGCCCCTCCCCCCTCTCTGCCTTGCCGGCCACATGACGGCCACACAAGTCGCAGTAAGAGGAAGATCAGGCCAGACGTACGTCATGTGTGCAGTGAGGAGTGCCGCGTGTGTGACGGCGGCGGCGCACTGACCCCATGGGAATATTATATGGCCCCGTTGGTTGAGCTTCTTTCGTACGCTAGGCTACACACTGCCCGCGCATGCACTTTGATTGTCGTGCGTGCGTGTGTTGGCTGCACGGCCGGGCCGTGCCGGGCCAGCTGTCTGTTTGGGTGGAAAGGGCGGCTCCGTGTCGGATATGATAAGCCTCTTATTGGTTGGTTGGTAGTGGTGAGATGAGAGAGAACAGACGATGCTTTGCTTGCCTCCCTAGGTGCGTGCGTGCGTGTGTCCATTCGTTGGTCACTCACCCCTTGATGCCTTGCGATGCGATGCGATGCGTGCGAAAGGTGCAAACATGGCCCTTATCTTTATCTATTGTCATGTGGGTGCGGTACGTGCATGGAATGATGGAGCCAGCCAACCAACCAACCATTTCTTCCACCCCTCGCCGCTCTTATCTTCACAACCCAAAACGCAAACACACGATGGTCGTTTCACTACCTGCGGCCCTGTCCCATCGTCAGCTCGCAGCGGAGATCGGTCGCAGAGCAAGATGGTTTTGCCTCTCTTGTTCAGGATCTTCAAGCGCGGCAGGTTCTGGCTCAGGACACCAGTGAGTCTGATGGATCACACACACACACACAGCGCTTCTGCTTGGCTGTGTCGGCCTTCCTGGCTGTCTGTGTGTGTGCAGGTGGCGTATGCGACCGGTCTATGTGGGTACGGACTGCAGTGGAACGGAGCGCTCATCGGCAACATCAATATGGGCTTCGACTTCACCCTCTCGTCGCGCATCACCGAGCGGCTTCTGCAGGAGGGCTGCCGCAGCGTCATCGACTTCGGCTGCGGCACCGCCGACATGATCAAGGAGCTCAACTACAGGGGCGTTCACGTACTGGGACTCGACGGTAGGATACGTCGTCTTAGGACAGCTGGATGGATGGATGGACTTGTGTGTGTGTTTCTCGTGTGTGTGTCAGCCAATCCCAAGACGCCCAACATGTCACAGGGTGGGTGGGCAAATGACCGACCTGACCTGGGAAGCATCCATTGATTCGTTCGTTCGTTCCTTTGTTTGATGCATCAATCAGACTTTGGCGATGTGGTTGATCTCACGCACCCCTTCAAGATCAGCGACGAGCAGATCAGAAAGCTGGGCGGCATGAAGGCGGCCGACTGGGGGCTCTGCATCAACGTCGCCGAGTTCGTCCCACCCGTACGCACCGTACCGCACTAACACGTGTGCACAGGAAGCCAAACAACACAGAACTGGCCGGTCTTTCGTTCGTCTGGGTGCGGTGCTTTCCCCCATTTCCTTTCCTTTGCCCGCCCGACCACCGCAGAGCGACGAGAACGTGTTCCTGGCGAACTTGGACGCCTACTGCATGAGGGGCATCATCATGGCGTGGCCGAAGCGGGGCACTCTGTGGTTCGCCGGCACCTTCAACGAGCGCGACCCCCAGGAGGTGGTCGACATAATGGAGCAGCGGGGGTTCATCTACGACCCAGAGTTCAGCGAGTCGCTCAAAGACGGCACCCTGCCCGGCTGGGAGGTAGGTCAGCAAAGCCAACACGTCAGTCAAGTCACTTTAGTCAGTTAGGCATGCAATGCAATGCTGCCCTGCCGTTCGTTCGTTTGTTCCTCTCTCTGCCCACCCAGGGTGTCCACGGTGAGCACATGTACGTCTTCCGGCGGCTGACGCAGGAGCAGCGGCTGCTGCTCACCCGCAGCAAGGTCGCCCAGCGGATGCACCAGGAGCGGGTTGAGCGGGGCTCCTTCATCAACAGGACCAAGCGCAAGCTCGCCAGCATCTTCATCCCCGCCAGACGGCGGGAGAGCAAGTCCTGGCGGGCGGACCTGCAGTTCATCCGGCTCGAGGAATACCAGCAGGAGCTCGAAATGATCCAGGCCGGCAGCACCGACAAGAGGCCCCTCCTGCCACAGCCACAGCCACAGTCACAGCCTGGCCCGCCCCCACCACCCACCCCCACACAGCAGCCTGGCGAGAGGCGCGTCATTACGAGAGAGGGGAGGAAGAAGGCACAGACAGATGCTGATGGGGAGGGGCCTCCCCAGGCAGACGCCAGTCACGCCGCTGCACCTGACCCGTTGTCGCCGCGAGCGATCCTGGCGAGTCTTGTGGGCTCGATCTCTTCTGTGGGCGGGGCGCCTCAAGGAGGTGTGCAGGGGGGCGGGAGGGGGTAGATGGGATGGGATGAGGTGGGGCGAGACGTGTGTGCAGTGATTTCGATGGGGGTGACTGACACAGTGACTGGGGGTGGAAATGATTTGACGGTGGTCATATCTTGATATCATGATGGATGGCTTCATCGATCAATCGATCCGTCAGCTAGTCAGGAGGTCCATTCTCTGCACACACAGGGAGGGAGGGAGGGAGGGAGCCACGGTCCATCCATGCATCCATCCAACCATTCATCCGCCTAATTAGCCACTTAATTGCTTGATCGACAGCTACAAACAGCCAGCCAAGTGCGACACGCCACACACCACGCCACACCACCACCACCACCACCCCTTATCTCCGCACACGCACACAGAGAATGAATGGACACACCTTAACTGCCGTACTCCCTCCCTCGCCCTGGCTGGCTGATTTGCTATGCCGTCTGTCTGTCTGTCTGTTCTTTTGTATCTGTGTGTGGTGTGCGTGGTTCGTTTGTTTGCTGGTCTGTTTGTGTGGCTAGCTAAGGCTCTGGGTCTCGCTGCAGAGCGGGGGTGGGCTTGTCGGGCGTGGCCAACATGCTGCAGAAGGCCCCGAACAGGAACGATACGAACAGGTAGACGAACACACCCACAACCTGAGACGCACACAGACAGAGAGAGTGAGAGGAACCAAGGCGTGTTTGGGGTGTTGTGGCTGCACAGTGCAGTGGGAGCACTCACGAGGAACCCGACGGCGTTTCTGTATTGGCCGTCGACGATGGACTTGGGGCTCTTGACCCAGCGAATCAGGATGGGGTGGTCCGCAGATACTATGTCTAAACGGTGGCCACACACACACACACACACAATTAGTGAGTGTCCTCGCCTGCCCTCCCTCCCTTGTCTGTCTTGTGTTGGTTTCGTTCGCACTGTGACTGACCGTGGAAGGCCTCGGCCTTCTGGATGGCCTTGCGGTATGCGAGTGTGGGCGGCACCACCACACCCCCCTTGGCTGTCGTGTTGCGCGAATCGTCACAATGGAACCCACCACTGCAGTCAGTGCAGTGCACACACAGACAACAAAACACACACACACACAGAGGGTCAGGCGATGGGCAGGCTGTCTTGTTGGCCATTCTATGATTGATGTGTGGGGCTGACGTCTTGTCACAGCAGCTCTGCCCGACGGCCCAGAAGTTGACCAAGTTCGTCTGGGGGGAAGGAAGGCGACACAGACACGACGATGGGATGTGGGAATGCATGCCATGGATGTGTGTGCGGATGAAGGCGGCCCACCTCCACGAGGTCAATGATGGGCGCCACACACCACACCTCACCTGCACACACACGCACACACGCAGGCACCCCCACGCCGCGTGCCTGTCTGTCTGTCTGTCTGTGTGCGTTGCGCCCCCCCGCCCCCACCCCCCCGCCACCCACCCTTAACGAATCCGACTGCCTTTTCGACGTCCACCGAGGCGTTCTCATTGAAATACAACCGACCTGCAGCAAACAAATAAGGAGGGAAGAGGTGGCCGCAGGCAAAGTGAGACCGGCCTGGGTTGTCTGTCTGGGTTGTCCTCTGCCTGCCTGACTCCCTACCTGCGTCGGCGAATTTCTCTGCTTTGTCCGATGGCAGCACATTCTTATACGTGGCCGCTTCGTTGTAATTCCTGCAGGCGTCACACAGGAGTGTCTTGTATATGTATATGTGTGTGTGATCAGGAGCGATGGGTGCACCCGTCGTATCGTCCTAGCGCACCAGAAGAGTCTGACGTTGGTCTTGTAGTTGATGTATCCGAAGTAGTAGGACACCACCACTGCAATGAGACACAGGGCGCCCAGCGGCAGCTCCACAGGAATCGCAGACGAGTAACCTGCGGCACACACACACACACACACACACACACACGCACACACAACATCACATCACAACACATCACATCACACACGACAGCCAGCCAAACCATCCAAACCATCCATGCATCCATCCCTCTCTTTTTCTCACCGAGCAGCGGATCCCTCCGTGTGGACCGTTTCGCCGCCCCGAGCACCAGCACCACGACGGAGGCGGCGGCGAAGAAGGTGGTCACCACCAGCACGGCCAGTTTGGACTCATGGTAGGCGTAAACGAACAGCAGCTGAATGGTCAGGTACACCACCCACGGGATGAACACCAGCAGACACGTCCACAGGGGACTGATGAGGAGGGACCTGTCGTCCCCGTCGTAGCCGCGCTTCTTCCGGGGGCGCCGGCCGGGCTGCTGGTTCAGGAACGGGTCGTTCTCGAAGCCTGCGCCGCCGATGGTCCCGCCGCCCGTCGTGTTGAGCAGCGACGTCATTGCACACTACCTGGGCTGGCTGGTAGGTTATCTTTTATGCGCTGGCGGCCTCACAAGACCCAGAGATCTTTCTGTAGGAAACGGTCGCTGCTAGCCGCAGGAGCCCATCGCATCGCTACGTAAGCCTTTCAGGAAGTGTCGTAAATTTCGATCCGAATCTTTTCGTGGTGCCCGAGACCTGCGCGTCTATATGGACGTTCCGAGGCTACCCCTTACCATTCTCTCTCTTGTTTCCGTCAGATCTGCTTCGTATTCGGTTGCTCTGTCGACGGGCCGAAGACGCATCGGCACGATGACGACTGTAGAGAGGCTTGGGAGTAAGGTGGGAAGCACGGCGGTGAGCGAGGAGGCTGCGGCCACCCTGAGGAGCTTCACGCTTGGAGATCAGCAGGTGCAGAAGGCCCTGGCTGATGGATGGACGTACAAGCAAACAGACGTCGCCTACCAGGTGAGTGAGAATGAAACCAATGAATGCATGACAGATCCGATGGATGGATGGCTCGCCACACGCACTGCACACAACCGCATCGCTGCTGCACTGTACTAGCTGCATGTACTGCTGTATTCCCTTCCTGTTTTCAGGACGAGGGCACCGAGCTGATGGGTCTTGCCGTGTGGGTGGAGAGGGACGATGCCTCACGACAGATACTCGGAGAGCGGCCATGTGTGCTCGTCTGCCCGACGGCTGTCGGCCTCCGAGAAGACTTTCTATTCGGCGCCCTCGACCGATATGCAAGCCTGGGATATGGTCAGTCAGAGCACTGCAGTGGGTGAATCAATCAAAGGGAGGGAAAGGCAGCGACTGACTGACTAGCTGACCCTCATGAATGGGATGTGATGTGTGCTCTCCCTTTGCTGTCTGTCGCACCACGCCTGTGTGTCATGGCATGGCATGGCATGCAGTGGCGTTTGGTGTTGACATGTACGGTGAGGGGGCCGTGTGGGACAAGGGCCGCTCCAGAGCCATCCGCCAGCCCCTCACGGCCGACCGAACCAAGCTCCAGCGGCGCATGGTGGCGGCCTATCAAGCAGCTCAGTCGCTTCCCCAAGTGCAGGAGGACAACATTGCTGTGGTCGGCTACTGCTTTGGCGGCATGTGTGCCCTCGACCTGGCGAGAGCTGGGGTTCCCATGAAGGGTGTGGTGAGCTTCCACGGCGTCCTGGACAGGCCAGCTGTTGACAAGGGTAAGATGAATATATACAGGTGGGATACCACGTGTTAACGGCGGTTTGTGTGTGCAGTGCCAGGCGGTTTGTCCTGTCCTGTGCTGGTCCATCACGGCTCCGACGACCCCTTCATCAGCCCCGACCAGTTCCAGGCCTTCCAACAAGTGTGCTCACTAACATGTGCTATAGAGCGAATGAAGGCAGAACTCATGTGTGTCCGTTTCTCTCCTCCTTGTGTCGGGTGGATTTATTTTGAAGGAACTGAGTGACCAGCGCACCGACTGGCAGATCCACATCTATGGCGGCGCAAAGCACTCCTTTACGCGGCCAGAAAAGGTGACTGAATGGCACAGTTAAAGGGGCCGGCCACTCATCATGGCTGGAGGCAACGAATGGATGGACGAACGTGACGTGTACCTGGCGTGCATTCATTTCTGCAGGTGACCCAAGCTGACAGGGATGCGGGTCTGCAGTATTGCCCCAAGAGTGAGCGGCGGAGCTATCGAACCACCAAGGCCTTCCTGCAAGACATCTTCCCAGATTTCTCGTCCCCGATTCAGCAGTAGTGCTGCCAAGCTAGCTGTGTGGCTGTGTCGTGTGGGAAGGACATGCGGTGTTTCAGTCATGTGTGTGTATCCAGTACGTGTGTGTCTGGCTAGCTAATGGATGGGACACACCAGACCAGGCCAAGGCAGGCTATGTGGATAGGATAGGATCGCTAGCCGAGCAACACAGGGTGTATGTAAGAACGAGCAGACTACGGGTGGATAAATCTCATGCCTGATGGCTCGTCAAGAATCAAAGTAGCTGAATCTCGGATGCGCGTCGTTCTCTCCTTTTGGGCCTGCTCACCATCCGGCGCTTTTCAGCTCCCAGGAGCCCCCAGTGCGATGCCGCACCTCCTGTCTGCGGGCAGTCCCGCTGCATCGGCGTTTGTGGATGCGGCACAGCGTGGGCCGGGCTCCGTTGCGTGCGCTGGCACGACGTGGTGAGGGCCGACTGCATGACTGAACCTCGAGACAATCTCATCCTCGCTCATTGCAAATGACTGTCTGTGTTGTTTGGTCGAAGGTATTGGGTGGATGGCCCTTTGGACGTGCAGCAGGCCCGCCAGGTAATTAATGTCAGGGACGAAGGCGACGCCGTGTGTACGGTACATGTGTCTGGCCGACATGCAGGTGGTGAAGGGCTGTCACGACAGGCAGAGGGATGTGGCGTGTTTGCTGGCCGTTATGAAGGGCCAGCAGACAAGCAGCGAGACTCAACTCGCCCTGACTGAGCCCCTTATCCCACTGCAAGATGCCCAGACAGAAATCGACTACGCGTGTGTGTCTCTGGCTGACGTAGAGCGGCTCTTGGGGCAGCTTGGCCCGCTGATAGAGGCGAATGTCTGTTTGGTGCAGTCGCCGCTCGCTTACCGCAACCTGGAGATCATGACGGCCAACCTGGAGATCCTTTTTGTTGCCCTCGCCCTCTCATATACAGCGCAACGGTCAGTTGCTTGACTGTCGTGGATTGGATGGATGGACTAGTCCACTCGTGGGTGAGAAGGACATGCATACAAAGAGCGAAAGGAATGAACGGGGTCAACCCAACCACCATTAGAGCACACCATACCATGCCATACTGGTCCGCGTCCACATCCATCCATCGGTAGGGTGGGATGGGGTGGGTGCCGACGGATACAGTACACGTACTGGATAAAGGCACGGTGCACTCACTCACCACACTACACCTTACCCCACCCCAGCGGTTCCACGGCTGTACAAATACCCCCATCCATCCCCCTTGCACCACAAGCTCCTTACAAGCTCTTCCGGGCACATACCTGCCGACTGACTGTCTCCCGGACTCCCCACCCACTGCCTCCCTCCGGCCACCTGGCCTGGCGGATACCATACACACACAAAACAGCAGAAGACAAGGCAGCCAGCCAGAGAGGGGAAAAAGAGCCAAGCCAGGTGGTGGCTGGGTGGGGAAGGAGACACAGTGTGCCCGCCGCAGACCACTCAACAACTGTACGTACCTGATTGACTCTGCGTCCGCAGTGCACGCAGTGAGTGCACTGCACGCCACCCACCCACTCACTCACCCACCCAATGGAGGCCAGCAAAACGAGACGAGACAGTCCCTCTGTCCCTCCCTCCCTCCTTCCGAGACACCCACTGCACTAACTGCATCCTTTCCTTCCCCATACTCACACATGCACATGTGTGTATCATCTCTCCGGTCATGTCATGTCTTGTCCGCCCCACCCCTCTCCCCGCCCTCCCCCTGGCTCCCAACAGCAGCGTTGACCAACTGAAGGGCCGTTCCAGCCACTGCTAAGCGCATGGGAAGCAAGGGGACCGGCTGCTGTCTCGGCTGCTGTCTCGGCTGCTGCTCCTTCTCGGCCTTAATCTCGGTCAGCTGAGGCGATCTGCTGCGGTCGTCCGCCGATGGGGAAGGGTCGTCTCTGTCAGCAGCCTCGTCGCCGCTGTCCACATCTGGCAGGGACGAGGCGAGATGCAGCACATCGCCCAGATCCGGCGGGTGGTCGAGATGCAGCCCTGTGGCCCTGAAGGCTTGGTCGGCCCGGAGCCTGTCGACGCCCACCCGATAGCTCTCCAGGGCCCCTTTCAGCCGGGCGGTGGCCTCTTTGTACTGCCGCAGGTGCCGTCTCTTGACCCTGAGCTCCTCCTCCAGAGGGCCGATCCGGTGCAGCGCCTCCCTCTTACGTCGCTGTGACTCCCGTGCACTGGCCCTGTTGCGCCTGATCCTCACGCATGACCGGCAGTTGCACGAGGGGTCGTTGCCTTTGAGGGTGCAGCCGGTCTTGCTCGTGGTCGGATCCTCGGAAATGGGTTGCAGCGCGTCAGAGAGAACCCTCGGATGCCTCTCTCGCATCGCCGTGGCCGTGTGGTTGACAATCGTGCTCGACCGTTTCCTGGGGCCAGGCGGCCGTGTCGGCTGGTCGGGCAGGCCTTCGTCCGCCAGCTCGCCCTTGGGTGCCACATCGGTGTCCATGGGCGTGGTGCCGGTGTCTGCCGACTTGTCTGCCTCCTGCATCCAGTGCCAGTCGGCGGGAGGGGGCTGGGGGAAGGGTGGGTGGGCGTATGGCAGGGGCACTGGGGCTGGGACATGGGAGTAGGAAAGGGGCGGCGCCGTCGCCAGGGGGGGCGGAATGGCCGTGGCCGGGAAAGGGTCGCCTCTCTGCTGCAGGTACTGCATTATCGGCTGACAGCAACAAAGCAGCAACGACACACACATCACACATCCTCTCTGTCTGTCTGCCTGAAAGCTGCTGTCCGTTTGCTGCATACCTACCTACCTGGTAAGCGTCTGGCGGCAGCAGCCGCAACATGTTGATGACCTCCTGCGAGCTATACCCCTGCAGCTGCCTGTGGAGGTCCTCCATCGACGGCGGAGACTCAAACAAGCAGGGCGGCCCCACACCCGCCGGTGGCAGGGGGTCCTCCTGCGGCACAAACATCGCAAATTCCTGCCGCACGGCATCCCGGATGAGCGGCAGCAGCCCGAAGGCGTCCTTGAGGGCCGGCACACTATCCATGAGCTCGTGGAAGGCCATGACGCCGGGGCAGTAGAAGGTCCCATCCTGGGAGAACAGACTCTTGATGTCAGGGGTGGGGTCAGGGGTGGGCTGCCGCCCCAGCGACTCCAGCCTGTGGAACAGGAGGTTTAGCCGGGGCACCAGATCCACGCCGCTGAGGCCCTCCGCGCCGCCGCCATAGAAGCGATAGAGCAGGTTGGTCCTCTCCAGGGGCGGGGGCGGTGTTGAGGTGAGCTGCAGGAGCACGCACAGGTTGCGCAGGAAGCATCTGGGGGTGAGGTGGCCGGTGGCCGAGCCGTGGATGAGCGCTTGCAGGAAAAGATCTGCCGTGAGCTGGGAGAAGAGGGGGTGGGAAGATGGGGCAGACGGAGATGGGCCTGCAGTGTCGGTATCGTCGGCCTCAGACGGGTCCAGCCTGCACACACACACACACACACACACGTGTGCACACATGCCAGACAAGAGATGGAGAGAGTTCCCGTGAAGGCTCCCTCGTCACCTTTGGTTGAGTGCCAGCCATTCCTCGCGCGTCATGGCGGCATCGCTGCTCTCGAAAATCTTCAACTCGTCCAGCGTGACATTCTGATGGACAAGCTTCATCAGAAAGGCCTCCATCCCAGCTGCTGCTCAGATCATCAGCTCAGACCGCAGAAGGAGAGCCAGAAGCGCCTCCCCGATGCTGTAGCTCCTCTGGTGCACCTAGCTGCAGAGAGGCCCATAGTGAACGAAGGCGTCGTCGAATCGTAACTTCGATGTGTGAACGGCGGATCTCGAACTGTCGCCATGACGACAGCGCCATACTGCTGAAAACAGAGGGGAAATCTCGGTGGCCTAGTGGCAGCGCATGAGATGACTTAGGACAGGTCTCTCGTCAAACCTTTCACCGACGCGATGCGGCAAAGAGGACGTGCCAACACAGGACGCATCCAGGGATCTGTAGACGCCGCTTGATGCAAACGCCGCTCTGATCTTTAAGCCCGACTCCCGATGGCTACCACCGAGGGAGGCACTGCTCCGCGAGCGGGCTCCACCGCCATGAGAGCCTTCTCCACGCAGGAGGCCGATGCAGCAATCGGGACCCTGTTCGCACAAGTCGGCGGCATCTCAGACCTGCACACGCACAAGCGGTTCGGCAGTCGGCTGGCCCCTCTGGTGAGTGAGCGGGATGAACACAGAACGCACAGAGTGGCTGATGCATGCAGCGTCCACACAGCACCACCATACATACCCTCTGTGTGAGTGTCCGTGTGCGTGTGCGTGTGTGTGTGTGTGTGTGTGTGATTCAGCGAAGAGCCATCAAGACGGGCGGCGCGGTGCTGGTAGATCTGGTGGCGAGCGCGTCACATTCGCCGACGGTGTTCATCGTGACGGGTCAGCAGCCGATGTCGTCGATGAGTGTGGCAATGACCAGGGTGACGGTGGGTGTGGTCATGGGCCCGCTGGCGGGCGTGGCGGGCGACGAGATGCGCGAGGAGCAAATCGTGACATGCAGCTTCACCGTGGACGTGGAGGGATACGACGTCGGCAAGTGAGCACAAGTGCCTCAGTGGGAATGAATCAGTGAGGGCAGGCTGGCTGGCTGGTCTGCTCAGGTCTGGGTATTTCGTTCGTGTGGCTGCAAACATGGACGGCACCCGGCTTGCACTGTATGCGGCCAAGTGTTGCGCCGTCTTCAATGTGCCCATCACCAGACACGTAAGCAGGCCAACGCCGCGAAACAGAGCCACACCGCCCGACGTGCGTGAGTATGAACCAGGGCTGCCTCTGTTTGGCTGTTGTCAGATGGGCAGGCCAAGGCTCGAGGGTTCGCTGGTCCACTGTCAGCTCATCGCCGATGACGCCGAAGACGGTAAGCCGCAACCACACCCATTCAACACAATATATCATGCTCCCTCCCCTCCTGGCTGGTTGACGTCTGTCAGATGCCGCCCATCCCCCGCTCATCATGAAGGCCGAGTGGCACCCCTTCTCTCCGGGCCACCTGGTGGTGCTGCGGGTGTCCAACTACCCGCCCGAGTCCAGCACTCCGCCCGACGCCACTTTTGCCACCTATAATGTGACCGAGTCTGCTGTCGATGCAGAGCTGCAGCTGGAGCTGCCGGCCACGTGCGAGGCGCCATCGGGGGAGGAGCAGGGGGCGGGACGACCCAGGATGTGCTCATTAGGGGTGAGGGGAAAGGAACTCTGCACATGAATGAAGGGACCCGGTCGCCGGATCCTGCTGGTGCTGTGTGTGCAGGTGCTGGGCGTGCATGTTCCGTATGACCCCTCTGCTGACCTGCCAGTGGACTTCACCTTCATGCGCGACGAAGGGCCCCTGTGGCACCAGCTCGCCGCCATGATCGTCACACAGAAAGGTCGCCTCTTTGCGATCACACCCCTTCTCCCGCGCCAGTGCCGGCTGCCCATGGGCGTGTTCGACGACATGCTGAGCATGGTGGGCAGCCCCGACCTGATGCCGCCGGCCGGGGACGGGGAGGGGCAGGGGGAGGACATGGTTGGGGCCGAGGAGAGGAGCATGGTGCACAGGTGGCTCGACGAGGTGCTCAGGGACGTCAAGCGGTCCAACAACGGCGAGGAAGACCACGTGATCCTCGAGTAAGTTTGTGAAGACAGACAGACAGATGTGTATGTGTAATGGACGGACGGATGGATGGATGGATGTATGGATGCAGGTACTCTTTCGGAGCGTACAAGCCTCGCGTGCAGGAGATCAGTGTCAGTGCGGCCAAGGGGGCGGCGTACGTGCCGCCAGCAGAGGTGCGGCCGCCGCAGTACTCGGCAGTGGCCGTGATCACAGATTTCCCCGCCCTGAGCATCGCTCTGGGCCGCGCAGGGGGCAATGTGGATCTCGTCCAAGTCACGGGGGCCATCCCACCGCTGCTCACCCACACAGAGGTGAGCTTGGGTGGGGTGGGGTGGGTGGGGTGGGCAGGAGCACCCATATCGATGACGGACTGATTATGTGGACTCGTTTGTGTGTGCAGAAGCTGGACTCGGATGCGGTGGTGAGTGGTGGGTTGGAGGGTCGCATCTTCGAGACTGTGAGTCTGGGCTCGGCCGTCTTCGCCTCGGCCCCCGTGACATTCGTCAACCACGTGCTGCCCGGCAGCGCACCAGGAGTCATCGCCAGAACCGCACAAGTGAGACAGACGGGACGGGGGGAAAGGGAACAAAAGTGACTGATATCTCCCCCACCACCCTCTCTCTCTGTGTCTGTTGCTGCATTCATGTCATGCAGATGGTGTGTCACGTGAGCTTCTACTGGCTCAAGTGGCTGCAGGACACCTACAGCGAGATCGCCGACGACCCCTCCCAGGCTCCCCCGACCCTCCCCTCTTTCCATCGCCCCCCGCCCGACCTCATCGACACCCGTCGTGTGGCCGTCCACCACCTCGCGCGTGTCACCACCTCCCACCCCCACAGCACCATTTTCGGGCTCATCTTCGACCGAACGCCCCCCGCACTGAGCACCGGGCGCATTCGCCGGTTCGAGGACATGACGCGTCTTGGTGTGTTGTGCGAGGTGTGGGTTGAGGGCGAGGCGGGCATCATGCCCAACATGCGCAAGGTGTCGGGGACGAGCGAGCTGATTCGCGACATGGTCATCGGCAGTGGCAGTGGCAGTGGCAGGGGTGTGCGTGAGGTCGGGGAGAGGTACTCGGCGGACAGGCCGAGGGAGAGGGAGAGAGGCGATGGTGACGAAGAGGAGGACGAGCAGGGTGCGCTGCTGCGGCACTACCTGAGGGCGAGGGGGCTGTTGCGGAGGGGCCCAGTATTCGGCAGCCCGCCAGACACCGACGACATGCACGAGGTGGGTCACTCACTCACCAACACAAGCAAGACACACACACACGTATGTATGCAAACACCCGAACACCCACACACGCACCTGTTTGTTCCTCTCTCAACGTCAGTTGGGTCGCTGGCTGGTGGAGTCTCTGCGCCACGGTGCCGGCTCCTTCGTCGACAGCCACCTGGAGCACAGGCAGGCCATCAAAGTTCTTGCAGAAGCCATCCCCGACCGCTTCCAGGAGAACATCAACCGCAACGACCGCGCCAAGGCACAGAACGACACCGCCCATGCGCAGCTACAGGCCCTCTGCAATAAGTTCCGAGACATACAGACCGCTCACGTGAGCGACGGGGTGGGCATGCCGCCGCCGGGATTGCAATATGTGTGTGGGTGTTGGTGGGTGTGGTGTGGTAAGGCTGAGCTGCAGTCGAAGTTCGAGTCGCTGCGGGCGAGGGTGCAGTCGCGGATTGACAGCCGAGTGCTGGACGCCCTGTCGCTTCAGATGGGGGCGGGCGTCATGGCCCAGCTGGCGGAGGCAAAGCAGCTACTGGCGCGGCACAAGAGATCCGTCAGCACATACACTACACCTGGTCAGTCAGCACGTGGTGGAGGCACCGCACCTCGCTGTATGGGTGTGTTGTCACGGTCGTGGCGCCTGTCTGTCTGTCTGTCTGGATGGATGGATGGATTGATGTCTTTGATGGAGCAGACGACAGTATGAATGCGGTGCGGGTGCTGGAGGAGTCGCTGGATAACGTGAGCCAGAGGGCCAACAAGCTGCTCAAGGCCATCGATGACGTCTCCAGGAAGGCATACACACGACCAGACAGAGAGACTCAGCCGGCGTAGAGACAGAATCTGATGCGCTGCAGGCTGGTAGTGCCATGTATGTGCAGAGACAGACAGACAGAGGGAGGGCAGGGCTCACACTGTCCAAGTGTCCATAGCCAGATGGTATGTCACCTGTCACCTCTATGCCAAGCGGGAGGGCGATTCCACGGAAATTTGTGACTGTAAGGATGGGTGTCTGATTGATTGATTGGTTGATTGCTGCACCACATGACAGTCCCAATGAGCATACAGACAGGTGAGGTGGCATGCAGGTATGCGTTTGTCTTTGGTTAACTGCGGTGAATGCAATGCGCCGTCTCCTCACGTCCACACATGCATCCCGAACGCACACAGTTGAGCGCTCATGCAAGTCCCCTGAGGTAGTGAGAGACGGAGGGAGGGAGGGAGGGAGGGAGGGAGAAAAGGGTGGTGTGTCTTCGACCCATCATGCAGTCCATGGTCGGTCCACGTACACACACGCTATCTATCGGCTGGCTGGAGAGTCACTCGATCGATCATTTGTGTGCCCATCGTGATCGCCGCCGGCCGCTGTCGTCATCATCTTTCCGCCCCGACCTGGTAGTCTGCTCCCACTTGCGCTTGCGATCACTCTCACGCAATCTGCATTGCATGACCCATCATATCACACACTCACACACACACACACTCTCTCTCTGATGGCTGGTATGTCAGCTCAAGCGTCACACGTACCGTTCTGCCGGATGCTGCTGGTTGTCTCTGTCTTTGTCTCTGTCGCGGCCACCGCTGAAAGAAATGAAGCGAAGGCCCACAGCATGACCATGGCATGCCCATCCATTCACCGAGTCCGACCATCCATACCTGTCGGATCTCCTCGACGAGCCGCGGTCATCAGTCCGAGAGCCGCCAATCCTGAAAGCGACCTCCGGGGCCACCTGACCCTTACTCGCCGCCCTATCGCCGTCACCGCTCCCAGCAGCAGGCGCCGACGTCGATGAAGGAGGGGCGGGGGGTGCTGGAGGGGGTCGCTCGATGGGCGGCTGTTTTGACAGGAGTGCCTCCAGCTGGGGGTTCTTGCGGAGGACCTCTTCGCGCGCCTCACGCTCGATGTCCTGCATCCAAATGGAAGGCGGACATGGCATACAATACAGGTGTGATTCTCCCTTGGTTCTATTCTCGTTGGTCCTTACAGCGATGAGTTGTTGTCGCCGTTCATCGCAGCGGAGAGTGATGGTGTCGGGGTCAAGCGCGCCTGCATGAGGTGCATACCATACGTCCACAGATGGATGGGTGAAGGCCACTGCGGTGCTGCCCGTCCCACCTACCTCTCTTTTCGAGTTCGACTTGGAGTTTCATGACGTCCACCTCCACCTGCCGCAGCTTGGCGCGACGCCGCTGCTCCTCAGCTGATTCCTTGTCGCCACCCTGAGTGAGCCACACACACAACGAAACCACGTGTGTCCCTCCCTCTGTGGTCGGCCGGGCCTGGGCCTGCCCGGCTGCAATGTGTCGACATTGCATACCGCCGCTGTCTTCTTGCTGACTGCGGTCTGTTCTGTTGCGGTGTTGGCGACTTCGTTCGGGTCTCGGAAGATGTCGTCATCGTCAGGACCCGCGAAAATGTCCTGGTCATCATCCACCTAGTCACACACACACACACACACACACATACACACACATGAGGAGCCACCCATCACACGATGCAAGCAACACACCCACCCGCAGGTGCATCCAGCCATCTACTATACCTGTTTCTCGATGTCGAGCATTTCCTCATCTTTTTCTCCCTTGTCGGCTCCATCGCCAGCCCCACCACTTGTGGCCGCCACCTCAATGGCCACGGCAGCAGGTGCGGGAAGAGCCAAATCAGCCGACGGCAGGCCCTCCTCGCCCACACCTGGAGCCACGGGCAGCGTGTCGAAATCATCCTCAGCCAACGCAGCTGCGCACCAGGCACCAGGACACACACACGCAGGGCAGGCACACGAGTCTCGTGAGCATCACGTCTGTCAGACATGATGTGCGGCTTTTTCACTCACCGTGCAGCACTCCAGGAGCGAGTGGGAGTGTGGGAATGGCTGGCCAGGGCTTCTTGGCGACAGGGGGGACAGGGGGGAGGGGCCGCCTGGCAGCGAGGCCGGAGAGCGCCTGTGGCAGCAGCCATGGGGGGACCTCCCCTGGATGCTCCAACTCGGGCGGAGGCGCGACTGAGAGAGAGAAGCGGAAGGGACAGGCTGGTGTGTGTATGTGTGTGTGGCCGCTTGTCGTGTGGTGTGTGAGCCGCAGGTACCTTGAATGGGCTCTCCGTCGATGTCGTCGATGGCCTCGCCATCGATGTCGAGCTCCTCGGTGCCGTCCAGCGGCAGCCCGTCGATGTCCTCACCACTCGCCTCGATGTCGGCACGCTGCAGGGAGGACCAACACACACACACACACACACACACGTGCACAGACATGCTCACATGCTCATGGTATGGTGCGCTTCCGTGGGTCGGTCGGTCATACGTTGAGTTCGTTTTCCCTTTTCCAGTAGAGCTGGAAGGCCACCAGCCGGTCGACCATTTTGGCGCGGTCGCCTGTGGGCCTTGACGAGAGCCCTGCATGCCATCCACACACACACACATACACACACACACACACACACACAGACAGACAGACATGAATGAGAGGCACAGACAGACAGACAGACAGACACCCTTCCCTCCTTGTGCTGTGTGTGTGGTCGGTCACCACACCGTGCTGGTGGCAGGTGCGCTCCAGCTGCGAGACATCCATGGCCTCCCACATCTGTGAAGAACCATACACAAGGCCTACATGGCATACGATGCTTGCGTATACGGCTGCCGGACGCACCTGCACTTTGTCTCGGATGAAATCGGGGTACCTGGACCATGAGACAAAGCCACACACAGACGTTTCTATCCATCCATCCATCCATCCGTGGTACTTGGCGAGCGGGTCTATAATGGGCTCGCCATCGAGATCGTCATCGGACGGCTCAGCTGCAACAGAACCCAACCAGGGGGACAGCCATGTGTGTGTGTGTGTGTGTGTCCGTGTTTGGGTGAGCCTTCTGTGCGTACGTGATGGGGGGTCCTCGAAGACGAACTCGCCCTTCTTGCGGTTGAACGTCATCTCAAGACCCTGACACACGCGTCACACACACAGGCAGGCAGACAGAGAGCCAGGTGAGTACTCATCAACGTGTGGTGTGCGTGTGTATCTGAGTGTGTCTGTCTTGCCTTCGTGTACTCAATGGGGAAGACGGCCCACTGCTCCCACACCCGGAACATCCGCAGAATCTGACACACATCGCAGCCATGGGCACACGCGCGTCCTCTCCAGCCTTGTATGTTTCTCTGTTTGTCTGTTTGTCTGTCTGTTTGCCAGTGAGGCGACACAACAAATAGCCCACCCACCGTTTCCCTCATCTGCGTGGCGGTGATACGGCCACTGATGCCCTGGTACACGGCCGTCAGATGCTCCACCATGTCGGGCAGCTTCTTCTCCACAGCCGTCCTGCACACACACACACACACACACACTTTTCCCCCTGTGCTGTGTGTGCCTGTCTGAGCCTGCCTCACACTCGATTCGCACCTGTAGGCCCATGCAGCTCGTGTGGTGCAGCAAGAGTTGAAGAGCACGTCGGACAGAAGGTACAGTCGGGCCATCTTGTCATCCAGAGGCACGTCGTCGGCCACAATGGCGGCCGACAGGATGTCGACGATCGCGTTGGCGCTGTCCGCCCTCTCTAGAGCCCACACCATGGCCTCACAAATGGACGCCCTGCATAGCATAGATAGCCACACAGATGGATGGATGGATGGACGGACGGACGGATGGACGGCCCTGTGCTGTCCTGTTGGTGTGTCTGCTGCTGGGCTGGATTGTGTTTCAGCTTAGTACCCACCGTTCCTTAGTGAGTTCTCTGATGCGCTCATCGAGGTCCTCTTTTTCGCGGAGGCTAAGCTCCACACCACCCGACACGAACGTGCGGGGGGCCGGCTGACTGACAACACACAGCCACACACCACACACACACACACACACACAAATCCACACACACACATATAGCAGATGTGACGGTGTTGTGGGCGGGCTCTCACCTAGTGTCTTTGCCCATGGCGGCCTTGGTGGGCGCCTCAGTGGGGGGCTGGCTGGAGAAGTTGGTCTTCTGACGCCTGCATCGCATCCACGCATCCATCCGCCGATAAGTGACCGTGTGACAGGAAGATGTATATATGCTGTTTGTCTGTCTCACTCTTCGGCCTCTTCGTTGGGTGGGGGCTTCCATAGACTCCCTGCATCACATCACACCAGCGGTGAGTGAGTGCACAGCAGCGGTGAACGTGTCTGTCCTGATGGCCATGGTTGTTGCTGAGTGAGTGGCTGACTGACTGACCTCCGATGAAGATGTGGAACGGCTCCGTGCGCCAGCTCTTGCGGGTGTCACCCTGTCGTCAATGTGACGCACACACAAGCAGCAGGCAGGCAGGCAGGCAGACAGACACGCTAGTGCATGAATGAAGCCGAATGCGGTGGGTGCCTCTCTGCTTCCGCTTCCTGCTTGCACACCTACCTGTGCGTAGGCCCACACACGCCACCTGACCACACACACACACACACACACATACACACACACACGCGCGCGCGCAGCCGAGCAAGGAGGGCGGTTCTCTGTCGTGTGGTTGGCTGTGGGTGAGTTCCCTCCCTAGTGGTGGGCTGCCTGCCCCCTGCCCCCTGCCCCTGCCTGACCGATCTGCCTGACCGTGTTGGTTCCATGCATTACCTGTAGTAGACGTTTCCTGTAGAGTCTTTGTGGAAGAGGAAGGCGAACCGCCCCTCGGCGCTCTCACGCTCCATCAGCAGCTGCTCAAACGGGTGACCGTCCTGACATGGACATGGACATGATGACCACACGACAACACGCAGACGATGAGATAGATGAGTGAAGAGTGCGTCCACACGAGTGTGGTGTGTCTGTGCGTGCGTACTTCAGCAACGTATTTGGCGAGTATGTCAATGAGCGTCTGCACCTTCTTGTCGGCCGGCGGGACCACCTCAATCGTCGGCACCACCTGCACACAAGCAAGCCACACCCATCCATCCATCCATCCATGAAGACTTCTTCCACCCCCTCACCTTAGACTCTGGCGGCTTGTCCGAGAACCCTCCGCTCCCGAATGCTCCCGTGCCGGCCAGGGGCGCCTCGATTGCCGCTGACGCTGCATGAAGAGAGACGAGACGGAGAGAAGAGGACACCATTGGTAGGAGTGTGTGTGGGGTGTGGGGGGAGGGGAATGGGTGTTAGTTACTCACCTGGAGGTGCGCCGATCTGTGCCGGTGTGGGGCCGACGACCGGCTTGGGGATGGGCTTGCCCCACCTGTGATGGACCAATGCGGTGGGTATATGTAAGTGGCCTGGCCTGGCCTGGCCCTCCCCTCCCCTCGGGTCTGTCCTTATTCCCTACCTACCCGATTCGAATGACCATCCCATAGAACTCCTGCCCGTCCAGCGCATTCTTGGCCGCCTCTGATCCATGCACCGCAGCGCAGCACAGCACAGCACAGCACAGCACAGCACACAGCAAAAGGCCGTGTGCATGCGGGGGTGGGATGTGTGCCTGGTTGCTTGTAGGTGAGGTGGCCTGCCTCACCGGCCTGTGGCCTGGTTTCGAAGCTGACGAATCCGCAGTGCCTGCCCCTGGCGCGCTCCTCGTCGGTGCGGGGGTACATGATCTTAATCGACGCCACGCTGCCGTGCTTGCCAAACTGCTGAGCCAAAAACTCCTCTGTTATCTACATAACAGGCAGGCAGGCAGGCAGGCAGCGAGGAAGCCATGTGTGTGCGGTGGTGTCAGTCATTGATGGCCACCATCCATCGAGGGAAATGGCGGCCTGGCCTGCATACCTCTGGTGAGAGGTTGCCGATGTAGAGATTGGTTGTCTCGTCGGCGGTGTAGCTCGAGGGGGTCGCACGACGCAAGATGGAGACCCCATTCACCTGCACTCACCCACCCAGCACACCACACCCACAGCAACAAAGACGGTGTGGGGATGGCATTGGTTGCGTCTCAATCATCGCGGCTGAGTAAGTACGTCTATTCCTCCCGGCCCTCCCTCGATGGCATTCTGCACCACCATACCACCGTCGCCAACGACACACACACACACACACACACACATGTGCACACATCATCAGCCGTCCGGCCGGTGCATTGTGCCAAATTGTGCTGGGCTGACATCAATGTCTTTGAGTCGTGTGGCGAGCCTGTCCTTCTCCTCGGCCGACTCGGCGGCGTCGATCTGGGCCTTGACGGCCTTGCGCTCCTCCTGGTACCTCTGCTTGGCCTTGATCTCTGAATGCATCACACACACACATCCATCCATCCATCCAATACACACTCCCCCGCTCTCCCTCTGTGTGTGCCCACACGTCAATTCCGTGCAGCAGCCCACAATGGCACCCCCGCACGCACCTTCAAGGAAGTCATCGATCTGTCGAGTCTTCCTCTGAGGCTGCTCTGATGGAGCCGGGGCAGGGGCAGGGGCAGAGGCAACGCGTGGAACGAGTGGCCCGTCGCTGAAGCCGCGTGGCCCGTCGCTGAAGCCGCTCTCCCTCTCGCCGTCCCTCTTCTTGGCCTGCAGCGCCGCTGACGCTGGCGGCAGCCACAGACCCTTCTGAAAAGGCAGGCAGGCCCAATGATGAATGAACGACCAACACACAATTGTTGCTCTGTGTGCGTGTGTGTGTTGTACCTTTACGGGCGGTTTGTACTTCTCCCCCTTGCCGACTTTGACCTCGCCACCTTTGCCCGGCTCGTAGGTGCCCCCTGTGTGAACCAACCACACACACACACGCGCGCGCACACACACACACACACACACACACATAAAGACACACACAGGTCTTGAGGTCAAGATGCCGCATCATCCTTTATGGTGTGCATGTCGGGGGCACCGCACCTCTGACGAAGGTCTTTGGTGGTTCGTCTGCATCTCCCTGGAAGGCCTGCACGAACTCGGCATACACCTTGGCGGCCTCCTGCTGCTCCTGGTGGTTGATCCATGCACACACACACACACACACACAGACAGACACAGACAGACAGACAGACAGACAGACAGGAATGAAGCAAGCGTGGATGGGATCGATAGATGTGTCTATCGTGTTGTGTACTGTGCTGTGCCGTGTTGTGTTGTGTGTTTGCCGCGTACCCTGCGCTTTGCATCAGGGTCTTCCGCCTTCTTCTTCTTGCCGCCGCCAAGATGCATGACGGCACATCAAACACCAGCGTCCAGATCACCAAACCACCTGTCCTCCTTCCTTCTGCGCTTCTTCGGCTTCGATCGCAACTGCGAGCTCGAAACCTGTTCAGCCCCCCCTCCCAGCAGGGAAGGTAAGAAGAGAGCCAACACCAGCGAGCGCACTTAATCAATCAATCACTGCTTGTTTGTTTCTTTGAATGCATTCCAGATCTCTCTCCAGCGTCGTCATCGCCGGGGACGATGAAGTGCGTACAGAGGAGGGTGGAAGCGGCGTCCGGGTGAGTGAAGGATGGCAGACTCGCCCCTCACCTGGAGGGCGGAAGGTGAGTGAGATGGCGGTGACGGCATCCATCTGCCTCACCGCTGATTGCAATGAACTCACTGAATTCGTTGTCTGTTCGTTCGATCTGGCGGCAGAGTGCGTGTACACGGCGTGCTACTGCGAGGAGAACGTCTGGTGGCTCTGCAAGCGCCTCGAGGACTGGAAGAACCGGCCGCCCGCACCGCAAGAACGACAACAAGAAGATGATGATGATGAGGATGAGGATGATGATGTCGACATCGCAGGTAGCAGTGGTGTGCGCCGCCCGCCGATGCTGCCCCTGCCCCTGGATGACCTGTCCGTGTCGGTCTCGTCGCCTCCACCCGGCCAGCAGCACTTTGTGGGTGAGTGGACGGGCTACGCCGTGTTCGTGACGAACCCCAAGCAGCAGACGGTCATGTGGCGGCAGAAGAGGGGCCGCGGGGCCGATGGGCTCATCGTATGGTCAGTGTGTGTGTCTGCATGGCATGGGCAGGGGAGGGAGGGGAGGGAGGGGCGGGTGGCACACATTTGTTTGTCGCTGATGTATGTTTCTCTCTCCCTGCCTGCCTGTGTCTCGGTTGGTTCATTTCATTCAGGGACTACCACGTGCTGTTTGTGGCGACCCACCACCCGGCTGAGTCGCCGGCAGATGACGAGACCAGGTCGCATCGGCGGGGCGGCAAGCGGAGGAGGGGTGCGGGCAGCCACACCGGGCCCAATGTTTACGTGTTTGATTTCGACACCACCCTGGGCTTCCCCGTGCCATTTGACGCCTACTCCGTCGAGGCCATACGGCAGGTGCGGTGCGCCGACACTAACTAAAGGACAGTGCGTGGCGTGCTCCTTACATATGTGCTGACTGTTGCGGGCGGTGTGTGTGTGTGTGTGTGTGTGTGTGCAGGTGCCTCCCAATCTGCACCGGACTTTCCGTGTGGTCGAGGCCTCGCTCTTCCTGGCGCAGTTCGCGTCGGACCGGTCGCACATGCGCCGTCCCGACGGCTCGTGGCAGGCGCCTCCCCCATCCTACCCCGTAATACGGCCCCCTGACGGGCAGACAGACATGAACCTCCACACCTACAGGGACATGGACACCAACAAGGTGGGAGGGGACAGACGGGGAGGGGGATGTGGTTGCAAATCTCTTCTGTCCGGCCATCTCTCTCTCTCTCCCTCTCTCTCTCTCTCTGTGTGTGTGTCAGGATGGTTTGTATGGGCGTGTGTATGGCGAGAGCGAGTTCGTGAGTCTGTTTGGGTCTGAGAGTGGTGTGGGAGTGCTGATGAACGGCATTGGGGTGGCTCAGCCGGCAATGTAGTGAGTGCAGTGTGGATGCCTGTAGAAGCGTGATACATTCCATTTATGTATCTGTGAGTGGGGGCCGGGGCGCTGGATGGGATGCTGCCCTGCCTGCCTGCCTGCTTCGGTCCATGCCGGCGCGTGCGGCGGCTCCACAAATGAATCAAACAAGGCAGGCTTGAAACTCTTGGCGGCTGTCTGTCTCTTTGTCCAAGTCCGATCGGATCGCACCGCACCGCACCCAGCCACCCACTCACTCACGCACTAACAGTCTCAATTACTTGCGCACACGAAGAGCACTCCCGTGTTTGCGTCGACCAGTCAGTCAGACGTTCCCAATGCATGCATACATGTGTGGCGTAGTCTAATGCGTCAAGGGGCAGTGTGTGTGCCTTGTTAGTGCCAGTGCGGGTTGTCAATCATCAGCCCGTCCTCTGGAGGGTCAAACTCTTGGCCACTTGAGCCTGGAACAGCGGGATCTGCACACACACACGCACACACACACTCATGTGGGGCGTGATGTGGTTGTTGTGTATTCTCTGTCGGCTGACTGACCAGCGGCCCCGCCTCCGTCCTGGTGACGACTTTGACGCCGTTGCCGCTCTTCTGCAGAGATATCTCGGCCAACACCACCAGGCGATTAGTCGTTGTGCAGCTGAAGTACAGCGAATCCTGCACCAACAAGCGAGGAGGGAGAGGGAGGTATTGTGGTGTGGTGCTTTGGTGTGTCTGGTGAATATAGCTATCCTTTGCGTCTTACAAAGGTGTCAGCGGCTCTCTGTGCGACCAGCTTGATGTTGACGGCTGCCAGGGTCTGGATGCACTGAGCGCTCGGGAGCGGCTGGGGCGCCATGGCCATCACCGACACCTGGCAGGCACCAACCAAACCAGGCCAGATCGATCAGTGCACTGCACTGCACTGATGCGCTGTGTATGGCCGCCCTGCCCTAGACGGCAGGGCACCCACCCACCTGTTTGGCCTCTCCGATTCTGGCCCAGAGGTCTTTGAAGGTGTCCTTGTCGGTGCTGTCGTCCTCGACCAGCAAGACGCCAAAGTCGACAGGCACGTTGAAGTAAAACACATCCAAGGACGTCTTGACGGCAACCTGTTTGTGTACGTGGACGGACACACCATCCATCCAGCCATCCACTGCGCATCTACCCATCCGTCCGTCCCGTGTTTCCATTGCTGCAGTCAGTTAGTTACCTGTAGGATGAGTGGCACGGCGGGCGGGTTGTTGGACAGCAGCTGGTTGGGCGTGACCGGCAGGCTGGCAGCTGTCATGTCAAGACACATATATTTGATCAGCAATGAATGCATGACGCGACGATGAATCAATCCGTGTGGCGTCTCGTCTTGTTTGTTGCGACTGCTCACTTGCTGTCTGCCCAGGGGCCAGGTCTTGCACCTGCAGCGGACCACCAGGGGCCAAACCGAACCTGAGAGATTCACACACACAAGGCTGGCTCATGATTGACAGCTGACGGACGGGAATGGGAGCGGGAGTGGGGGAGGTGTTTGTTCGCTCGCGCCTACGGGTTTTTATTGAACTGAATGGCCCATCCGGAGAGGGGCATCTGCGACATGTTGCCGAACGTCATCTGCAGCACTATCGAACCTGAGAGACAGCACACACACAGTGGGCTGGCTTCATTCACTTGACTGGTGCGGACTGCGCAGTGTGTCGTGTGTCCCCACCTCTGAATCGTGTGAGTGCAGCGGCGACTTTCAGTCCCCTCTGGCCCTTCTGGCCGGGCTGGTCCGCATTCAGCACCATCTGCTGAGGCACAGTGGGCGCCTGCATCCAATACGCACACACACATATACAAAGCGACCGGCTCCGCGCAGTTTATAAGTGTGTCTACTTACCGCAGCGGTAGGAGTGGTGGTGGTTGTGGTGTCGTCTAGTCCGAGCAGGTCTGTGGGCTCGCCGCCGCTCGACTCGTCGTCGCGGTCACGGTCCCTGTCGACACACAGATAGAGATGGAAAGCCATGTGCCGGTTCGTCAGTTCGTGTGTCTGTCTGTGGACGTGTGTGCATCAGTGCATTCAGTGCGTGGCGTGCCTGTCTCGGTCTCGCTCGTCCTCTTCATCGGACTCATACGCAGGGCTGCAGCAGGCAGGCACACGATCCGAGTGAATATGGACAAAACATGACCCCACCATGCCTGGGGGTGTGTGTGTGTGTGTGGAGGAGCGTAAGTACAGTACCCTTCCTTCATTTCCTGTCGCAGGCGGGCCACTTTGTCTTCCTCCTCCTCTTCCTCCTCCTCGTCCTCATACTCACCTGCACACACACACACACACACACATCCATCCACTCATCATCAATCTCCTATGCGTGTGTGGTGTGTCGTAGCTACCCTTTTGGACGGTTCTGAGTCGCGTGACGAAGGCCTCGGGGAGTTTGTGGTAGACCGACGACAGCATGGCGATGTTGTCGATCAGCCGGTCCAGCACGCTCGAGTCCAGCGAATAGGAATCGTCGCTTATCGTCGGCTTGTCGGCCAGCACCACTTGCTGCACGCACGCACCCATCACCCATGGCACACACACACCACAGATGGAGGCAGAGAGGCAAGTGCTGCACCTCTCCTCGTCTGTGTGTGTGTGTGTGTGAGAGAGAGAGGTTCCAGAGAGGTTACACACTTTGGTTGCCTCGGGGTTAGACGAGAGGAGCCGCCAGTAGATGTAGCCCCTGTCACGCAAATCGGGGTTCTCGCTCTCCTCTGTGGACATCTTCAACACCTGCAGGAACCAGCCATCCGTCATGCGCTCATGTGTATGTGTGTCTTGAGAGCGAGTAGTCTCGGGAGCGGAGCACCCACCTTTGTGACCATGTCCTGCGTGCTGCTGGGGGTCTTCAGGAACAGCTTCACTGTAGCCGTCAAAATCTGCACCGCGCACCGCACACACGCATGTTATGTGTCCATCCATCCGTCCCTTCGTCTGCATGTCTTGTCGGTTGGTCCATCTGTGTACCTGAAGCTGCACCGATGGCGTCTCGTCGTGGAAGGACTCGAGGAACGAGTCCAGCAGCTCGTCGGCATTGTCAATCCTCTCAGCGTACTCCCCTGACGCCCAGAGGATAGAGGGGACACACGGCGCCACATTCAGCCTCCCCTCCCTCCCTCCCTCCCTGTAGGTGCGTTCCGTCACCCACCGATAATCCAGATCATGGACGCCTTTGCCTCCGGTTCGTCGAGCGAGTCGAGGTTCTCGCACAGCGCTGAAATGATGGACTCGTATCGGTTGGGATATTTGCGGAAGATGTCCTTGATGACGACTATGGCCTCTTGCACCACGTAGTTGACGCGCGTCTCGATCAGGTCCAGCAGCACGTTGATGCAACTGAGAGAGAGAGCGCGAGGAAGCGGCACACACAGAAGCCATGTGTTGGTTGTGGGTGGATGTGTCACATCATGATCAGGGTGAGGGTGATGGTGGAGGGCTCGTCTCGCTCACCGCTCGGCGGCTCTGTCGAGTTTGATGGCGCATCTGCCGATGGCCCGCACGGACTTGCGGACAAAGTCGACATCCACCTCAGTCGCATACCTGCACTCAGGCAGTGTGTGTGTGTGTGTGTGTGTAGGCGTCTGTTGCTTGACGACCCACTCAACTCACTCTTTGAGTTCCATGAGTATCTGGTCGATGTTCCTCTCGCTGGCGAGCCGCACCATGATGTCGAGCTTCTCCATTTTAACGTACACCGGGTCGTTGTACTTGCAGAAAAACATCTGCACACACACCGGGAAGGAACACAGAGAGTACCCCTTTGGGCACCGCCATGCTGACCTTGACTTCGGTGGCGAGTATTGTAGGTCGTCTCTGCACAATGAGGTTGATGTTGCGGAGAGCCACGTACTGAATCTCAGGCTCGGCCGACAGCAACGTCACTGAACAACACAACACACAGACATTCGCAGACACAGGTAGGCGGTGGTGGGGCGGGCAGTGCTGAGCTGAGCTGACCCAGTGGCGGGCTGAGCTTTCGCTGCAGGCTGCGAATCGTCTCGGTGTTGGTGATCCTATTGACCACACGCACACACACACACACACATACACACACAGACGTGTGGTTTGCATGGTTGTTATGCGACCCGGCCGCCCGCCCGCCCACCC